TTCTTGTAAAGCTAAACATACACTCACCAAATGACCTAACAACGCTATGCCTAGGGATTTGTCCTTGAGAAATGACAATGTGTTCACAAAGAAAACCTGCACATGCACAATTATGACGTCCAGATTAATAATTGCCCCAAACCAGAAAAAAAATCCAAATATCCTTCGATGGATAAGTAAATAAACTATGGCACAAACATACTATGGGATACCATTCACAAATACAAAAGAACAAATTACTGATACATAGAACAATGTGGATGAATCTCAGAGGCATTAAATATGTTATGTAAATGAAGCCAGTCTCAAAAGCTGACCATCTCAAAGTTACAAGGTGTATAATGCTGCTTATTTATGACATCTATGAGACAAACCTTAGTGATGGAGAACAGACTGGCTCCCAGCTTCAGGGGTGCGACCGTGTGAGTGCGTGTGGAGAGCAGGAGGAGAGGTGTTTGGGGACGGAGCCGTTCTGTCCATATGGCAGTGATGATCCTTACCCATGTTACAGTCCAAACACTAAAATGTCTATAACACAAATTATAAAACTGTACATAAAAATTTAAAAGTAAATTAGACTGTATAATTTAAGTACACATGGAGTTCTTAGAGGGTGTTTCCAGGAACAGATTTTTTTTCTGAAGACACCTAATTCTTTAAAGTTATGGGCCCGCAACCCAGGCATGTGCCCTGACCAGGAATTGAACCAGCAACACCTTTGTTTGTAGTGTAACACCCAACCTATGACACCGGTTAGGGTTTATTATTGTTCTCTTTTATTGCTATATATTATACTTAAGAAGATTGATTATAAGTATATTTCTAAAGTCTATAAACACACAAAAAAAGCTACACGAAAAAGCATCTTGATAACCTGACGCTAGAGACCGAAACATTTGTCACAGTGAGTATGGACAAAAGTAGAGGCAATTACAAGTCATCTGCATTTCTTTTTATCCTTATATAATTAATACCAGTGAAGATGGAGATTAGAGGGCTTAGCCATGGGTCCTGGCCATCAGACCAAGACGTGCCTGTCATCCCATGGCAACAGGAGCCAGGCAATGACTAGCCTGCCTTTCTGTCACCTTCTGCTTTAAATTTCAGCTGAGATCCTTGCTGCTGATCTTCGTTCCATCCCTCATGAGATACTTAAACTCATGAGGCATCATTTGATATAGTGTTTCTAAATATGCAGATGATTTATTTCCATTGTTTGCATACTCAGAATTCTCCTCTGATCCTTTCTTTCAGATCGCAAAAAGCTATTTTTTAAAACAGAATTTATCTGTCAGCTGGAATAAAATTGAACTCCCATTGCACAGTGTGTCTCTTTAATAGCTTAACATTGTCAGCAACTATTACACATTTTATTGAATTCTTTACTGCTCTCAGCATCTTTCCAGTATGGATTTCCTTGCCTCTCCTTTCGCAAACTAAAATAAAGATTTGAAAGTCTCTTTTATTCTCATCTCCAAGTGAGAAAGAATATTCAAAGATACATGAATGATGGTTTTGACCATATGACTTTTATTTATCAGTTTAAAGAAAACTTTATTTACTAACTCTGAAATACTGCTTAGGTTACTTTCCTATAACTAAAAATTTTTTTTCAAAATATTTTTTCTGCATGTTTTCCTCTATGAGAATACTGGTCTATTCCAAATGTAATATTATTGTATCAAAATTTCCCCACCACCCACTGTGAACATTTGCTTGCCCTGAACCTCGACCTTCAGAACTGTCAATCACACATTTGTACGTTAAGCACAAACTTTTGTCTCACTTGTACAGTAGTCATTAGATTTTCTAAGTCTTGTAGAAAGTTCTTTTTGGAAAAAACCCAAGAATTTCCATTTTTATGTGCTTAGGTCATACTGGTGCTGGCTTATAATAAATATTTAGTAACTGTGGCTAACTATAAAAATTCTAGCTATTAAGATTCTTTTTTTCTGTTTAGTATTCTGGTTTCTTTCTTGTTACCATCACAGAGGACTTTCATGTGTAGGTTGTATCATTATTGTGCTCTTTCTTTTCCATATCTTATTTATTTTTAGAGAGAAGGGAAGGGAAGGAGAAAGAGAGGGAGAGAAACATCAATGTGTGGTTGCCACTTGCATGTCCCCAACTGGGGACCTGACCCGCAACCCAGGCGTGTGCCCTGACCAGGAATTGAACCAGTGGCCTGTTTGTGGGATGACACCCAATCTATGACACCAGTCAAGGCTTATTATTGTACTCTTGTATTGCTATATATTATACTTAAGAAGGTTGTTTATAAGAATATATTTTTCTAAAGTCTATAAATACAGAAAAGAGCTACACAGAATAATAAAATTAATCAAATTTTTGACTAAGATAGATCCTCAGTGGTAGCACCAACTAAGTATGAAGTGATATAATTCCATTCAGAAACTTCGTAACACTTTAATTATGGCCTCCATGCTTTTCTAAACTCTGGACATGTGCAACATTGCATGTCCACTCTACAGCTGTTCTACTTCCTATACATCTTCCTATGAACCCCTAAATAATAATATGATTCTCCATTTGGGACCCCAAGAAATACTTTCTAATATTCAGATCACCATATATTTACTAAGATATTACTTCTCTGTTCTAGGACATTCCAATGGCTCCTCAGTTGTGGCAGACAGGGCCAACTCTTATTGGGAAGTAGGGTTAATGTCCCCTACCCTTAATTCTGGGCAGGCTCTATAACTGCTTTGAACAGCAATGGTGAGACTATCTACCAGGTTTTTGAATGATGACTTAAGACTGCCAATTTCCCTCTTATTTTCATGAACACTCACTCTTAGAACCCATCTGCTATGCTTTACAGAAGCCCTGGCAGTCTCATGATGAAATCAATATGTAATGGTATAACCAAGCAAACTGGGACCTGTCCATGTGTCGGCTTGATGCATAACTCAACAACTAGTGTTGAAGGAAACAAGTTTTTATCAACAGGATTCCAACCTCTGGGGGCTGGGAGCTCACCTGCTCAGAGTGCTGTTCTGCCACGAGGCCCACCACTTCCCTTGCTCCCCACCAGGCCATAAGCCAAAAACATGCCCCAAACTTCCCCATATCCTTATCTGTTCTGAAGCCGGCCATACAAGCAGTTCACCATCCTCTCCAGAAGTTATACTCATGGGTTTTAGAGTCACTATCCTCTTGCAGCAGTTCTCTCCTTCAGGATCTGGGGTATGCTGTCCTCATCCTCCATGTAGTAGTAGTCCAGGAAAGCGTATGCTGTGTTACACTGGATCATGGTGGAATCCAGGGAAGGCACATGTCCCATGAGAGTGGCTTCTTTGTATGTCCTTCAGAGAAGCAGAAGTCTACAGTCTCAGCATTCCCGGCCACAGTTCAGTATTGCAAGTATCTCCTGCTAATCCATGTTTGGTTTGACAGGTTCCTGCTGAGCTCATCAGCTCTCTCCTTACACTCTTTCCTTAGCACACATGGTTGCCTTCTTTATAACCCCAGGCTGCATGGCCGAATCTCCTTACTTCATGGCTCCCCTCCTAATGGCTGCTACCTACTCTCTCAGACCTCATGGTGGACAAGCTCCTTCTCTTTCAGCTCACCCTGATTTTAAATGCTGACCTGGAAATTCCTACATATCCTCATATCCAGCCCCTCCTCATGGCTATTTTTGCCAGTTCTCCCATATCTTTTACTTTCTTTCAGCTGCCATCTTTAGTCAGGGCAATAGTACCCCATGACATGGGAACCTCTGCCTCCCTGCCTCTCTCATAGGTGCTGTACAAGTTCCCCCCAGCTACTATGTCACAAATCATTATACCTTCTGAAAGTCACATACGTCTTTTGCCTGGGGTGGTAGCACAGCTATCAACCAACTTTCAACTTGCCATAGTTATGAAGGGTATCTTAACCACCATACCGCACCCTTCCCTATCCCCCAACCATGGACTGTGGGGAATATGCTTTGCTATCCCCTCCCAACCTTTTTGCACCCCATTTCAATTAGACTGAAATTCCTGGTCTGTTTTCTTTGTTGAGCTCCCACTCAGTGCTAATGTGGTAAATTATCCACCCCCATTCAAATTTCCCAGCTGAAACACCATATGGAACAGAAGTGAGCTGTTCCGGTCACACCCTACCTACACTGCAGATCTGGGGGCAAAATAAATCACTGTTGCTGGTATAAGCCACTGAATTTTGGGCTGGTTTATTATGAAGCTATAGATAAATTAAGCAGGGACCCTGAATATCTTTGCTTATCTCTAACTTTTTTTCTCCCTGTCCTATTTGGTTTCTTTAGAGCATATATACCAGCTCACGTATTATGATCAGTTCCATCTACCCTTTTGAGGACTTTGAACTTTTTCAGCCAAATTTCAAGACTCATATTTGGGCTTGAGTCACTGGCAGCACCATTATATCACAGACCCTGCCACACTGTTAAATGTCAGCTCCTACACTATCTGATTCCTGAATCTTAATTTTTCCTATTTCTAAGTCTATATATATATTCTTGCAGTTCTCCTTCTGACTAAGGATTTCTCCAGCTTTTAGCTCATTTTCAAACAAAGAAGACTAAGCCAAGTATATATTAAGTGGATTCTTGATCAGGTAATTATCTCTAGTTGGTTTCTGAGGCTCTCTCTACTTGTCTGGGTAACTTCATTTCTTGTTAAACCTCCATGGCAGAATGGCAGACAAGGGATTTGTTCAAGCTACCTGCCTCTTCAAAAATTTGATAATTCCAATCCCATTTTATACATTGATTTATTTATTTAATTTTTATTCAAGCCCTGGCTGGCATAGCTCAGTGGATTGAGTGTGGGCTGCGAACCAAAGTGTCACAGGTTCGATTCCCAGTCAGGGCACATGCCTGGGTTGCAGGCCACGGCCCCGAGCAACCGCACATTGATGTTTCTCTCTCTCTCTCTTTCTCCCTCCCTTCCCTCTCTAAAAATAATAAAATAAAATAAAAAATAATGACATAGGAAAGTATTTAAAAATTTTTTTTATTCAAACTGTGTTTTGGGGGATGGTTCACCACTGTATCTTGATTCAGGGTGCTGCTTCCTTCCGAAGGAGCATCCTTTTGAACGCCGTGCTTTGCCTCCTGCAGGCTGACAGAGGACAGTGGAGCAGCCAACACACAGAACTACTGTCTGCACATGACTAATGACGGGGATAACTTCACAGCATCCTGGGCATTTCCCATCCATGAAGTGGGAACTGGGGCTCTGCACCAGGAGCTTCTTCCTGGTTTCCTCTTCTCCTGTTCTAGAGGAGATGGAGGCCATCATCACTGGAAAGCCACTGCTTTTACTTTAATTATGTATTAAAGAGCACCTTCCTTGATACTCTTTATCCACATTTTAATCTTAAGAGAAGCCCATCCATATTCTCAACAGTATAAAAAGCATCCTTTTTCAGTGTCAGCTTAAAATTATATTTTTTCTAATAAACCTACCCAATTATTTATTTTCTTGACATTAAAAGAAAAATAAATAGCAGTTTTCAGCAATAATACAAAATCTCATTGTTTCCCTTAAATATTACTAGGTGCCAGTTTAGGGTTTTGTTGTTGTTGTTATCTTGTTGTGTTTTGATTTTTTGTTTTCCAAAGTATCTAAAAAATCAAAGAATAAAAAACTCCATGTAAAAATATGTTGATTTTTAGCTTCCACATTGTTGTCCTGTTCAGGTTTTTGAATCCACGTATTCAAAGATTTTATACTAGACAGGACTCTCTAACAATACATACTAATGTATTTAAGTAGTTCTATTTTATATAGTTTAATACCTCCCCATCTTAACCACCTTTGAAATATATACTTCACGTACATGCTAAACTTCAGCATGAGCTAAATACTAAAAGGCAAACCAGGAATTAGAATGAGCCTTGAAGGAAAGGAGGCATATCTTAAACTAGATAGCTGACTGGAGCTGCCTTTCTTGGTTGGAATTGGCCTTTCTTTTATTATGTACTTGTACTTGCAGAGAATTTTATAGAAGTCAAAGTTATAATTATGTTCTCACAAAAACAAAATGCATTGCACTCAATTCATTTCTTAGGCAGCTTCTGATATATGTCTTTGGGACCCTTTTATGCATCATGTCTTATTTCCTGCCCATAAATGAAAAATAATTCATTCCTGTTCACCTCTTTCTTCACATGCACAATTATTCCTTGCACTCATGTCTAAACCTCAGTTTGAAACAGAAATGCTGGGCTCTATTGCCCGCCGCCGAAAATACCGTGACTCCTAATATCGGAATCTTACGAAAAGAAAAGGGATTATTTTTCCAAAAGTTACACAGGATTAAAATAATGGCAGATTTCTTCTATTAAATCTCACTCCCTTAAAAACAAAAGAAATGCCCACAAACACACACACAGTCCTGTCTCCCCTTGCCACACCAGGCCAGTCAGAGGTAGTGTCTTTCAGGAACAGAAACGGAAGTCTGTAGCTCAGCTGTTTTAATGTTCCAGCTTTTCCTGGTCGCCCATGCTTGGCTCGGCTGCTGCTCTTAATCCAAAACCACATGGTCCCTCCTCATGGTGGCTGGTGGGGGTCTTTCTCCATCCTGTCAACCGGCATGACCAAGACTCACCCAAACAGCTGCTACATCCTGCTTTTCTCCTCCTTTCTAAGCTACATGGCAGAGACCCCCATATGGCTAAAAGAGCATGGTTGTTCTGCACTTGGGTTTAAATCCTTGCCCTGTTCCTCCTCCGTAAACCCATTTCCCACTCCTCCCACAAAGTGATCTGCCAGTACTCTGGGCTCTTCTGCCTTTCTCTGCTGCCATTTTTAGTCTGGGCAAGCTTGACCCATGGTGTAGGGAAACTGCCTTCCAGCTCTCCTGCAGGCACAGCAAGCCCCTCTGGCTACATCAAGGTTAGAGTCCTGTCCATCTCCCAGGTTCCAAGTGTGGCAGGCACAGCTATTAGCATTACTAAAACACTGGCCAAGTTCTTTAGATATGCAAAGTAACTCTCAATGGCCCTGCTGCACTTTGCTTCTCCTTCCCGAAGCTGAAGCCACGTTAGTGGGGTTGGAGGCTTCTCAGCCTGTTCCAAGTTAGCCTATGTCTCTTAATAAGACTCCTAGTGTAACATATTTAGCAGAATTCTGCTGGGGCTAAGAATTGGATATCATTCCTCCTGCCATGTTAAAATATACTTGCCTTGAGGATCAGGTGTTGTGAGGTGAGAGCTTCATTGTACCTATCTCCATACAGACCTATTTTTGTCACTACAGTTATATAGGAGACAGACAGGACTGGGTATTGGTATGGGCTACCATAAGTATTCTATTTGTTTGGAGCTCCTTTGAAGCTATGGTTTCATAAATATTCAACATGAAAAAATAGCCTGGGTATTATACAAATGAAGGGTAACTGTATTCAAGTTCATGACCTCTGTAATAAGTAATTCAGCATCAATCCCAACATGTTTATTATATTTAGGAAAAAACAAAATTGACTAAAACAAAACACCTCTGCATTTAATTAGATTCACCTTCATAGAAAAAACACTGACTATATCCTCAACCAAAACAGTACTAATCAGGAGAGTATCCTATTTCTAGTTTTGTTTTTCTTAGTCAGCACAATACTTCGCTCTGGGCCATGGTCACGCGGTTGGATACTTCCTGCCTTTCCCAGGTGGTCTTCCCTCTGCTGCCTTCACTCCTAGCCCCCGGCCACGGCCATGCTGACCTACTGAGATAAGCATGGCCCCCTCACAAAAGGAAGGGCATGGTATTCTGTGAGATAAATAAGACAGGTAATTTATTTCTACTTTATAGATAAGTAATCTGTAACTCAGAAATATTGAGTTTTCTAAGCCAATAGAAATGATTACCCAACACTAGTTTCTCAGGATTCTAGCCTCCTAACACTACTCCCCCTTCAAAATAGTTATTCGTATGATTAAGAAAAAAGTAAAACCTGACAGACAGAAGATTTTTGTCAACAGAATGTTTTTCATTTTCTTTTTCCATTTAGACAATTTACAGTTCATAGGAAAGCCTGTTTTTAGATCAGCCAACATACATCAGGGTTTGCCTACTGACTGTACCAAATATGCGATTTTGAGTGTTATTGATTTTAGATAAGCTTGGATTCTTTTATCTATAAAAATGGATATAGTAATAACTCCTTGCCATGAGAATTGGAAAAATATATATAGGTTTATGGTCAATATGGAAAAATAAGAATTCAATATAACTTTTGTCTTAACTAAAACATCTGGACAAAATAAATTGTATATGACACAACAATTTCAGCCCAAGGCAGCGATCCCTGAGATAACAGAAACAAACCAGCTGATGCAAAAACTGCCTCCACACACTGCCTGAAGACAGTTTCCAGGCCACAGCACAGCAAGGGGACCAGAATGCAGCCCAACAGACTCCTTCAATTGAGGAGATAAGGTTGGAAATTCAGGAGGACAAGCTGTCCAGAACTTGCAGGATATACCGGTAGTACAAAGAGGAGATTGCCAGACAGAGAAGAAAGAACCACAGGAAGAACAAAGGGCCACAAAGAGAGAGTTACAAGGAGAGAAAGCTCTGGAGATTTTCAGCAGGCTCCCCTAGAGTCATCTGCTGAGTAGTGGTCTGTGCAAAGTAAAAATCCGAGGCTGGGAAAGAACCATCAGAAAGGACAGGTTGGCACAGTCCTCAGAGCTCACAAAGGGCTGGGAATAGTTAGAATTCCACATAGTGGAAAGCTTCATAGACAGGCCACAGGAGAGAGGACTCAGACAGCTTTTGTATCTCAATAGCAGAGCAAAATTAGCCCTAGACTTAACTGGTCCCACATAACAAAGCTTAAAAGCAAGACCTAAAAGAATTAAACTGCTCCCAACTAAGTTAATTGCATGTGAGTGCAAAGCTCACAATTAAAGAAATACAAAATTACCCTGCACTCCAAAAGGTGAAATGCTAATGTCTGACATTCAATCAAAAATGATGAGGCATTAAAAGAAGCAGGAAAATATGTACAACTCATAATAAGGAGAAGAGTCAACCAATAGAAATAAACATAGATATTGCGTAGATGATAAAACTGGTAGACTGGGACGTAAAATAGTTTTCATAACTATATGCTATGGAGAGCAAGTTTAATTGGTCTCTGGTTGGAAGTGCCAGCCATGTCCACTTCTAAGTTATTTAATATTTCATTTTTAGTATTTAGCACAGTGGCAGCTGCATGATATACATGCAATGAAAGAAAGGGAGGGAAAAAAAGAGTAGGGGTGGGATAAAGAGAGAGGGATAAGAAACAGGCATAAAAAGAGGGAAGGTTGAGGAAAGAGGAGGAGCAGGGGGAAAAAAAAGCTACTGACTTAACCACAGAATGGACATCCTCTTCTAATGGCTTAAAAAGATCAAGAGAATTAACTCATCTTCTAGAGACCTAATGCAAATGTATAAGTTCATTTGCAAGACCTGATCAAACAAACATGATTAATTATGTCATCTTCCTTAAGTGAAGGCAAATTGAAAGTAATCATTATGCATTAATTTAGATTCATTGATTTAAATACCAAAGTGGTATATAATTTAAGTATGGAACACTCTAAAATCCTGCAAAGCATATGTCAAAGAAACAGCAAACAACTTGCAGGGGAAAGTAAACTCTTCAGTGATGGATGGGGCACTTCCACCAACTGAATCACTCCAAAATGAAGATTCAGTACACAAGAGAAACACCTCTTCTTGCAGCTGCTTACAGACACTGCGACTCGGGGAGATGGACCATCCAGGCACTGCAGAGACTGCTACACGGACAGGGGAAGTGTATCCATATATTTGGAATCACAGAAGAGCAATCCAGCCAGAAAACAGATGCAAGGACTTGAAGTGATCTCCTAAGGCTTGAAAAATCTTTTGGCCAGCATCAAAATAGCTTTTGATCCAGCTCTCCCTTCTTGGAGGAAGAAGCAAAATATCATAAATCAGGTGAAAGGGTGACAGTGGTTTCTCAGGTGGGCTCCACTAGGAAATAACAAAGGAACAAAGCACACGATACAGCTCTTCAAGCTTCCACCGGCTCTGCTCTGACTCCCTCCCATAACGTTTGTGAAATCCCCACCGTTACCACTTCTCAATCAGATCAACGAATGACAGACTGCCCTTGCTGCTGGTGTGAATAAATCCAGACGTGCATGCCACCTTCACCTTAATCTTCCGATTGGTTCGACATAGAT